ATGTAATACATGAAACATTGTTTACATTCACCCATATCTTAGCCTCATTAATAAACTTGCTTTAATTAGTTATTGTACATTTTGTAGCACATTTAAATCTAGGCCTGTTATACAATCGCTCAGTAATTCTCTGTTACCATTTTTGTGTTATAATTTATGATATAGTGAAAATTGTTTCATAATCACATACATGAGTATTACATGCAAATTAACTTTCTGCTTCTTTAGGATGCTTAAGAACCCTGTACAGGCTATTGAGTCTGCTGTTTCACCTCCTCATACAAGATAATGCTGCAGAAGCCCATGGTCCATTTCCCAGAATAAAGAGGGATTGAGTAGTTGTGATCTGGACTTAAAACATGCCGCATGCTACAAAGCACAGATAACTAATGCAATGTGGCTTACTATGGGGATGTCAAATAGTGGACATATAACAAAGATGAGAAACAAGAATTTTTTATTTTGTTGTTATGTGCCCTAAAGTCAGTTCATCTCCTAATGACCCTATATAGGGTTCCCAATGAGAAGACAGATGGATTTGAATTACTTGTGGTTCATAGTTCAGCACTGATCCTAAAGCACCACACCAGCGGTATTAAATATCAGTTGCTAGAAACATACATAATTTATTATTTTAGCAAGTAATATGTAGGGTAGGGGTTACATTTCTCCAGGATAATTTAACCCAATGTACAGAAACTAATTATCAGATATAAAATATATCTGAGACAAAATAAAACAGGATATTAAAGAGAAAAGCTAAAAAATATATGGCATTAAGAGGATTTGAGGGAAATTCTGTGTAATATGAATAAATGAAACTGTGTTAGTGACAAAATACTTTGCAAATTTATAATTTTAATAACATGTTGTTGTTGTTGTTAAGTGCCATCGAGTCGGTTCTGACCCATAGCGACCCTGTACAGGGTTTCCGAGGGTGTAAATCCTTACGGGAGTAGAAAGCCTCATAAAATATCCTCAATGGGTATTAGAACTGAGAGTAAATAAACAGGTAAAACAATACAGCAGAATATGGTGGTTGCTTATGGGTTTAACATATCATGATTCAATAGGAAGGAAATGAGCTCAGAGAGGAATTTGTTTATTTGTCACCAAGACTTCAGGATGAGAGTGGTGAAATCAGGAGTTCTCTAAGCTACTAGGTGGCGGTGGTATGCCATGCAGTCAGTTTTGACTCATAGCAATCCTGTTAAGGGTTTCAAAGGCTGTAAATCTTTACGGAAACAAGAAGCTTCATCTTTCTTCCATGGAACAACT